TAGTCTACAAGGAGGATGCAGAGACTACTTTTGAAAGGCAAACCCTAAGGCAGAAATATTACATTGTGTTCTAATAGAAATATATATTTGTATTAATTATATAGGGTGTGCCAGTGTAGTGACTTACATGCACTACATATCTTCCTCACACTTGCATTGCGTCGCACGCGTCAAACACCCGTTAGTCCTTGATAAACTTTTATTGCATGGCAGTTCTATAAAGACACCTCGTTGCTAGGAATCAAATATTTTAATATTATTCCGATTTTGAGTTTTTTTATACATACGACATGTTCATTTTAAATATATAATAAAAGTACAATATATATCCTCCAATTAATTATTTCTTTATTTATGATGGGATCAAATTATAATTAAAGACCCACAATGGTGACCCTGCAACTAGCATTTTTAAGGACTCTAATTTTCCAAATATATGCAACTAGCATAGAATTATTATTAGTTTCTCTATTAAGGACCCTAAGAGAACAACAAAATCTGTAATTACTAATATATTGTAACGACAGTATTTTTCACATAAGAAAGAACCTGTCTAGATAGTAGTAATTACTAATAAAAAGCAAATTTCAAATCACTAAATAGGTGCATTGCATAAATTATACTTTAAAAATAAAAAATTTATATTTCTATTTGCACATCATAATTCATATTACATTTCACTAAATCGTAGAGTATTAATGCCCTTTTCACGTTTGTGTTTTATCTATCTAGGACACTACGTCCTGATGGTAATAGCACAGTTTATAGCTAAAGAATCAGTTCGCTCACTCTGCGTCGGCATTTTTGATCTTAATGTTCCAGTTTATACATTGCGCAACTCGGATTTTTATACCTGGCGCATACAGAATCAAATCCAAATAGCACAAGAGCCCACTGCAAATTTTTACCATCATCTCATAACGAAATGAAATATCCACCAAAAAGCATATTAAAACATTATACTTTACCAAATGGCACCTGTGCCAATCGCAATCCTAAGCAAAGTGGTTAATAAAAATTATTTTATAATAAAAAAAAATCACATAAGGCATGACAGCGCTAATTTTGTTTACCTTAGAGTTTTCCAGAAAATAACATATTCAAATTTGGTCCAAAAAAAAAGAACTGAGGTTTTAAATTCAAATTTAATAAATATTAAAGTCCAGGATGTGTCCATCTCTATAAAAGATACTGAAAAAAATCTAGGGGTTATATTAAATCAGAACCTAAATTTCGCCGAACATGTAAATAATTGTATTCGCCGTGCGTATGCCAACTTAAAATTAATTTATCGGGAAAGACATAACTTAACAAAAAAATTAAAAATAAATTTATGTGAAAGCCTTGTATTATCACATTTTAATTATTGCGCTAGTGTGTACGGACCGTGTATAGATAGTATAAATATAAGAATACAAGTCGTTCAAAATTCTTGTCTTAGCTTAATATTTAGTATCAGAAGGAGACAAAGAATCTCTAATAAATTGAAAGAGGCTGGATGGTTAATAATGTGTGACGCGACGGTATCTTCTAAATAGCTTCCTTTATCATAATATCTTACAAAATGAATGTCCAAGTTACTTATATAATAAAATACGCTCTAGATCAACAATACATTCCTTAAATACACGTAACAAAAATCTTATTAATACACCACTGCATAATTCGGAAGCATTTAAAAGATCATTTAGCTATCAGATAGTTAAAGTTTATAACAACTTGCCAAATAATTCAAAAATATGCATGTATTTACATTTAAAAAGAACCTTAAAAAATATCTATTATCTAAGTATTATTTAAAGTGTCCCTACAAATATAAAATTAAAACATATATGTATTTCATTTTATTTAATTTTCTTTCTTCTACAATTTAAAATTAATTACTTATTTATAGCCAACTAATTTACTTCAATCAATGGTGACTTTACATTGTAATTAAACGATCATGTATTAAAATATAGACACAATTATTGTTAGTTTAAAGTAACTACTTGTTCCATTCTCTAATTTTCGGTACAATGAACTTATATATTTTTTCTTTTGCTAGCTTAAGATGAAAAACAGCTAATACGTCTTGTGGACGTATACAGCTGATCTTCGGCTTTTTTCATAATTATAGATACTCATTTAATGTAATTCACAATACAAACTTATATTGAAATTGATCTGTAAAATATGAAAATAAAGACCTTTATTATTATCATTATTATTATTATTATTAAATATATCTTGATTATATCGTTAAAAAGAAACATTTTCTTCCTCTTAACATCGCACAAAAACATCTATCCACGATTAGTAGGTAAAGATCATTAAAAATATGAATCAATTTTTGCTAATGTAAAAATATATTTGTATGCCAATTGTTGCGATTCATTTTTACAGGTTGCCATAGAAACGAAAAAAAAAACTACTATGATTATGGTTTTATTAAAAGAATTGTCTAACAAGAGTTTATAATTTTTATTGATTATCTCTGCAAATGGTTTATACATACACATGGTTTAAACGGTAGGTAAAAATAATATTAATTCAGGTTTAAAAGCTAAGTTCACACTGAATTAGGATTGTAATTTTCAGGGAAAGCACAATTGTCGTTGTCATGTCTTATGTGATTTTTGAATATTAAATAAAAATTTTTAACCACTTTGCTCAGAATAGGGATTGGCGCAGGTGCAATTTGTTAAAGAACAATGTTGTTGATGACGGTTGAAGAAATTTGCAGTGTGCTCTCTTACTATAATCAAATACAATATATGACAACCGCCTATATTCAAACAGCAGTCTTCTGCGCCTCTGAATTTGTATCCTTGGAGTGGATATTATTTTGGAACATCCGCAGTTAGTCTTAGTGAGCAAACTGATTCTTTAGCTATAAACTCTGTTAATAGTAATATTGCTTAATCGTACCAATGACACTAATTTTAGATAGAAAGAACCTGTTAGATGACAGTTATTACTAAAGACACAACTGGGCAATTTTCCAGATGAAAATGGATCATTTATCTAGAGTAGTTTTTACTAATGACATATGTTTGACAATTACATCAATAATTTCATGAAGGGCTTATTGGAATAACATGATAAGTCACAATATTAATTTATTAAGGAAACACGTCTTCAAAGGTTAAAATAAACTTGTATAACTAATACAACTTTGTTAAAATGCAATCACTTGATTGTTCGGCTAATTATGGTATTTTTTGAAAAATTTCCATTTGTAATATTCTTTTTATTGTCCTGAAGTAAAATGCCTTTATTTTAAAAAAATGTGGCTTATCATGTTTTTACAATAAGCCCTTTATATAAAGTATTAAAATTTTGTTCTGGGTTGAGTAAAGACAGACATAAAAATATGCAACAATCAACACACTATTAGTATAAGAGCCCACTGCAAATTTCGACCGTCATCTGATAACGACATGAAATATGCTCCAAAGACATGTAACAACATTGTACTTTACCAAATTGCACCTGTGCCAATCCCTATCCTGAGCAAAGTGGTTAAAAAAAATTATTTTGTATTCAAAAAATCACGACATGACAGCAACAATTGTATTTTCCCTGAAAATTACAACCCTAATTCATTGTGAACCTAGCTTTTAAACCAGAATTATTAATATTTTTACCTACCTTTTAAACCATGTTTATGTGTGAAAGGAAGAAAAATGGCATTGTATAAACCATTTGCAGAGATAGTCAAGAATAATTATAAACTCTTGTCAGACAATTATTTTAAACCATAATCATAGTAGTTTTTTGTCGTTTCTATGGCAACCTGTAAAAATGAATCACAACAATAGGCATACAAATAAATTTTTAAATCAGCAAAAATTGATTCATATTTTTAATGATTTTTATCTACTAATCGTGGTTAGATGTTTTTGTGCGATGTTAAGAGGAAGAAAATGTTTCCCTTTTACGATATATATCAAGATATATTTGAATGTTATTTTCTGGAAAACTTTAAGGGCAAACAAAATTAGCGCTGTCATGCCTTATGTGATTTTTTTAATATAAAATAATTTTTTTAAGCTACTTTGCTCAGGATTGGAATTGGCAGAGGTGCCATTTGGTAAAATACAATGTTTTTCCATGCTTTTGGGGTATATTTCATTTCGTTATCAGATGACGGTAAAAATTTGCAGTGGGCTCTTGGGCTATATCGAGTTTGAGAGGACTCGAACCATGAACTAAAAATTGATTAGGTTTAAAGAGAGGAGAAGGTATTTAGTGACTTACATGCACTATATATTTTTTTCACACTTGCATTGCGTCACACGCGTCAAACACCAGTTATCCCTTGATACATTTTTATTGCATGGCAGTTCTGTAAAGACAAAAGATGGAACTCATCACCTCTTTGCTAGGAATCAATAATTTTTTTATTATTATTATTATTATTATTATTATTATTATTATTATTATTATTATTATTATTATTATTATTATTATTATTATTATTCCGATTTTGAGTTTTTTATACAAACGATATGTCGTTCATTTTAAAATTATAATATACAATATATATCCTCCAATTAATTATTTCTTTATTTATGATGGGATCAAATTATAATTAAAGACCCCACAGCCAGCCTCCTCGTATACTAATCGCCACTGTATAACTCCTATTTGCCTTTGTAGAGTTTTTCGTAGAGTTGTTTTTCTGGGATTAAAACTTACATTTTCCTTATTTACTGTTGACTAGTTTCCAAGTTATTTCTGATTTACTTCCTGAATTATTTATTATGTTACAAAAAATGAGTTTGCTTTTAATTTTTAATTTTAATAGATTATGATTTTTTTTCTTTAGGTTATTACTTATATTATGGTATTAGTTGTTTTCCCAATTCAATTTATGTATGTTTTGATATTACTTTTTTAAATTCATATGTAAATTTTATTTATTATTTCTTTTCCCACTGGTTTTTGTTGTTTTTAATGGAAATGCGGCGTTGAATATATACATATTCAATTTATTCTTTTTTATATATATCTAGATTATTTTATGGCCATGGCGAATACCATTCAGTTTTACATAGGAGGTATAGAAACAAGTGCTGGTTCATTATCGTTTACTCTTTACGAATGGGCAATGAATCTGGATATACAAGAAAAAGCTCGAAAAGAAGTGTTTGATATCATGAACAAATACGATAAAATAACTTATGATTGTTTACAAGAAATGGAATATATTGACATGTGTTTAGCAGGTGAGTAAACTACACTTCCCCAATAAATTAACGCCCCATCGAAAAATAACAAAAAGTTTAAAGTAAAGATTTGTCAAAACCACTTGTCTGTTTTGGACGATTTTTTTTTAAATGACAGGTTGCCTCTTCCACAACGTCGGTTTGCTAACTGTGTTTGCATAAAATCCTCTTTTTTATTAATACAGGGTGTAGCAATTATAGCGTGATTTTTTCATAAAAGTTGTAACACCCTGTAGAGCGCAATAGTTACATTACCAAGTTCGCATTGATATTACAATTTAGCCTTATCTTCTTTTAACAATTTCATTTGTTATTTACTCCATTATGTTTCCTATTACACGAGAAACTCAATTTTATAACTTAACATGACTTTATTCATATGCATTAGCATTATAAGCACTAAAGCAAGTAGCATGCTATGGAAAAACCAGTAATTGTCAAATACAGATGCATATTGTCAGTATTTAGTCCATTCGCCATTTTTTGCAAAAAAATCATTAAACAATATGCCACGAAATCTTACTCGCGAAGAATGTGCTCAAGCTTTAATATTGTTTGAAGAGGGTTGGAGTTACCGAAGAATTGGTGAACGATTTGACGTAACCCACACAACCGTTTCACGAGTTATACACAGATATAGAGAGACTGGAAATCATGGTCGTAGGCCGGGACAAGGAAGAAACCGTGTAACTACTCCGATTCAGAATCGATTTTTAAGACTGTCAGCATTAAGACAACGTTTTGTAACAGCTCGGACCCTTCAAACCCAGCTTCGGGATACTAATGGTTTAGAAGTTTGTACAGAAACTGTTCGTCAGCGACTAAGGGAACATAATTTGAGGCCTAGAATAGCTGGTCGAGGTTAAGTTCTAACTAGAGTTCATCGCAGAGCAAGGCTAAATTGTGCTAGAGAGCATCGTAACTGGTTAGAGGCTGAATGGCAACAGGTATTATTTTCTGATGAGTCTCGATTTTGTCTGTATAACAATGACAGGCGTATGCGCGTATACCGACGCCCTAATGAACGGTATGCTCAGTGTAATTTCTCACATACAACATTATTTGGAGGAGGATCTCTGATGGTCTGGGGAGGCATTTCTTTGACTGGTCGCACAGAACTTGTAATCTTAAATGGAAGCCTTACAGCCGACAGGTACATATTGGAGATTTTAGACGAACATGTAGTTCCATTTTTGTTGATGCAAGATAATGTCAGGCCTCATGCTGCTCGAGTTGTGAGAAATTATCTAGGGGAAGTCGGTATCAATACCATGGCATGGCCAGCTCGGAGCCCGGATTTAAATCCGATATAAAATCTCTGGGATACTCTTGGGAGGAGATTACAAGAGGAACGTAATCTGAACTCTCTGGAAGATATACGGCAGAGACTGATTCAAATATGGGAAGAATCGGACCAAAATGACATACGGTCTCTTATTTTAAGTATGGGCCACCGTTGTCAAGAAGTTATTCGTGCCAGGGGTGGAAATACTCGCTACACTTATTTCGTTACATTTTATTTCGTGTTTTCATTGTTAAATTTTGATATTAATTTTTAATAAAATCACGTTATGTTATAAAATAATATTTCTCGAATAATGACAAAGATAATGGAGTAAATAAGAAAAGAAATTGTTAAGAAAAGATAAGGCTACATTGTGAGATCAATTCTAACTTGGTAATGTAACTGTTGCACTCTACAGGGTGTTACAACTTTTATGAAAAAATCACGTTATAATTGATACACCCTGTATTAATAAAAAAGAGGGTTTTATACAAACAGTTAGCACACCGACGTTGTGAAAGAGACAAAGTTTCATTTAAAAAAAAATCGTCCGAATCAGACAAGTGGTTTTGACAAATATTTACTTTAAACTTTTTGTAATTTTTTGATGGTGCGTTAATTTATTGGGGAAGTGTATATTCAATAGCTAACAAATGAGTTAAAATTAAATCTTTGTTCCTTTGAAGCTACTTTTCCAAAATTTTATTTAGTTTTTAGGGAAAAATTTCGATATTTTTTAACAATTTTCTCAAAAAAAAATTAAACAAAATTTGAAAATATGTCTCTATAGGAACGCATATTTAACATTTATCTAGAAAATGAACAATAAATTATGCTTGATAATTAACTAAATTAACTAAAACACAAATAATACACAAAGGACCCCGCACACCGCTTTTGGAAAAGTGGTGACCTGTTAAATATCATAAATTTTTAATATGTTTCAGTTCTTGACCTCTTCGGCAATAGTGTCCGTGGGTCCATTGAAATACAATGACTGGTTTTAGAGATACAGGGTGTTAAACTTGAAAAATACCACTTATTTAATAACGTTTATTTCAGGAGAAAGCAAATAGATTATAATTTTTTGTGCAAAATTTTATTGTAATTTTTTTTTTGGCATTCTACGAATATAAAAAGGTGTCAAAAATTATTTTCCTTTACAAGGACATGTTTTTGATAAATACTTTTGTTGTTCTAGAAGGTGAAAATATTTACTAAAAAATAAATTATTGCTATATTTATCATGTCTGATGATATTACAAAAGATATTAGGTGCCATTCATACAGGGTGATTCGTAAATATCGACATAGGCCAATATAATTTTTATGAGTATTAATGTGAAACGCAATATGTTTACGGGACTTTTGTGCATTTACCATATGTTTAGTTATCCAATTCATTGACTACAGGGTGAATTAATAAATATATAATTAGTTAATTTATCGAATGTGTTAAAAAACATTTTTTTAAGCACCCTATATACTTTTTGATTAGTCCTGTAAAAGTAAATATATATTTTCACTGGCGTATCAATTATCCTGTTGATAATATTTTCCAAAATTATAGCTTTTTCTGATTGGTTTTTGAGATACAGGGTGTTAAACTTAGAAAATTACCCCTTTTTATTACCAGTTACTACAGGAAAAAGCTAATCAATTATAATTTTATGTGTATACTATTATTTTAACATCCTTTGACACTCCACGAATATACACAGGAGTCCAAAAAATTTGTCTCTACAGGGTGAATCGTAAATAAGTAAGGACAAGTTTTTTGATAATTACTTTCATTGTTTTAGAAGTTGAAAATATATATAAAATTAATTATTGCTATATTTATCATTGTTAATGATTTTATACAAAAGATTTTAGATGCCATTTATACAGAGTGATTCGATTTTTTTTTTAATGAATGTGAAACTCCGTATTTTTAGTTGACTTTTCTGTATTTTTTATAATATTAACATATGTTGAACCAGTGTAGCCGTTTCCCCTGTAAATAGTTGGTAACAAGTTTGTTTGACCTCGACAATAGCGCGCTGAGCGCGTTATGATGAACTATAATTTGGTACAGTCGGTAAAGTAGAAAACTACTAAGTAAAGCGATTTAAAAAATGGCGGGCTTCAAGCAATTTTAAGTAACATTTTTCTATTTTACAGCTTTTACTTACAATATTTGAAACAATCAATAAGTAAAATGAATTTTTATTGTAAATGCTGAAAAACGGAAAATGTCGCTTGTTTTAAATGAAAAATAAAAACATTTGTAATAAGTTTATTTTATTTAGAATAGGTAACTATGTCATTACATTATATTAAACATCATATTCACAATAAACACACACAAAATTATTGCAGAGTAAAATGTAAGATAACAATGTGACAATTGTTTTACAAAAACTGGGTACAAATTTTAAAAAAATTATAATTTTAAAAAAATTATAATTTCAAAAAAATTAAAAAGAAACAAAACAGACATATCTATAAATACAATTATTGTTTTAAAAATCCTTAGTATTGACTTTACACAAAATATAGGTAATTTTTCACAGAAAACAAAATAATTAATATTTAATTCATTTATATTAATATTAATATTAATATAAATTTTAATATTTAATATTTAATACCTACATTTTGATCTTAATTTTACTTACTAAGCCAATCAATTTTAATATTTACAATTAATATTAATATTAATATTAATTGTAAATATTAATTATTAATATTAATATTAATATTAATATTAATATTAATATTAATATTAATTCATTTATATTAATATTAATATTAATATAAATTTTAATATTTAATATTTAATACCTACATTTTGATCTTAATTTTACTTACTAAGCCAATCAATTTTCCCTAATCAATTCAATTTTAATATAATAATATATGTAAAATTAAAAGATTGTTTTATGTCCGATTAACAAAAACTTTAAATTATTTATTCTAAATCTCTCTCAAAGTTTATCAGGCAATATTAATATTATTAATATTTTTGAGAGAGATTTAGAATAAATAATTTAAAGTTTTTGTTAATCGGACATAAAACAATCTTTTAATTTTACATATATTATTATATTAAAATTGAATTGATTAGGGAAAATTGATTGGCTTAGTAAGTAAAATTAAGATCAAAATGTAGGTATTAAATATTAAATATTAAAATTTATTAAATATTAATATTAATATTAATCTCTGTCAAAGTTTATCAGGCAACTAAATTTTAATGAATGTTCATGCAACCCACTTAGTTAAGCATTTTTTTTTTGACTCCTTTATCCATTAATGTTCTCAAGCTCTATTAAAGTTGCCTTAACATATACGAAGACCAGTTGTTTTGAAATTTTATTGGTTAGGCAACTCTGGCACTGTACCACTCTTTTATCCTTTTACCTATCTATCTATCTATCTATCTATTTTAGTCCAGCTTAGTTGCAATGCCTATTGCAAAAGTCTCCATACCCAGGGATATCTAAAACAAAACAAAATAATAGAGGTGCAGTGTATCTTAAAATTAATAATTAACATAGTTTTATATTGTTTTTTAAATGCTTAGAAATATCTTTAGTTTTTTATAATAAGAGGTACACAAATTTTCAACAATTTCGAAAAACAGACATCTGATTTAAGCTCTTGGTAAGCGAACCATGGAAAATTAACATGTTCGTAAAATATAAAATAAATTTTTTAACAATGCATTCTATATGTCCATATTTGGGTAGTATTTGATAAATATATTTATAAATAGTACCCAAAAAATTGAACAAGTTCTTTTTGAGCATAAATCAAATGCATTTTTATCATATTCTTTTAAATGTGTAAACCTATGATGAGGTTCTACAATACCTGCTCGTAAATTGCCTGTACACACTTCCCATTTCTTACACGCGGTTTCTCTATTAAAGGTTTCTCGACACATTCAATTTTATCATTAAAAAATTCTAGCTTTCTTTTAGCTGATGTTATATTTGAAAAAGATAGTTTAATCAAAACATCACTAATTACATTTATTTGATGAATTCAGTATAAGTTAATGACATCCTTAAAACCTCAGTATATTTTTATAGCTATAAATTACTTAAATCTAAAATAATTAATTAAATTTTACTCGCCTACATTTTCTTAAAACATATCTGTCATTTTTTAGTGCAACATAACCTAATTTATTATCAAAGCCAGATTTACACCACTTCTTAATATTCAATTTTAGCTTTAACTTTATATATTTATAATAATTATTCCCGTATTTGATCATATATTGTATTAAAGTAATATTTAAGAGATTGCATTAGTAAAGTTATTGATTTCTTTAATATTTATTCATTTTTTAATTATTATATGTGTGTAAAAACGGCTTTATATTTAGTAATCGCAGCGCGTGAAGCGCGATATGATAAACTACATACAAGGAAACCATTTCCGCCTATTATTCAAACCTTCTGTTTTAGTTTTTCTATGTGTAGAACTATTAAATGTATTGATTACATGGTTAATTTATCGAGTGTGTCAACAAAATTTGATAAATCACTTTTAGTCATATAAAGGTGTTTCTTTACTGGTGTATCAACTATTTTGTAGAAAATAAATTACCAAAAATTACAGCTTTTTAATATGATAGGTTTTTGAGATACATAATTTGACTTAAGAAATACCCACTTTTTATTACCTGTTATTCCAAGAAAAAGCTAATCAATTGCAATTTTTTGTGTCCAATTATATTGTAACATCTTTTGGCATTCGACGAATTTACACAGGGGTAAAAAATTTGTTCATTTATAGAATAAGTCACAAATAAGAAAAGATATATGTTTTTGATAATTTCTTTCATTTGTCTGTCTATAGGATGAAAATACTTTCCGGAAAATTAATTATTGGTAGATTTATCGTTTTTAATATCACAACAAGGTTGACTAGTAAAAATCAACGTAGACCAATATGTTTTAATGTGATACTCAATATTTTTAAAGTGACTGGTATATGTGTGTATCTACAATAGTTATACAGTAATTATTTTTTCGTGTTAAACATACGACTAGTATACAAGTTAATAAAATGACAGCAGGGAAATAGCCAATCATCGTCGACGACTAGAATTAGAAGATATAGTGGTGGTGGTATATTAGCCGAATCAAATGTGGGTCACAGAGCTAGAGAGCGATAGCAGGGATATCATAGTTGTCACATGTTCGCTGTAAAAGCACTACTATGCCTAATACAAAATAATTAGTAATGTATTATTGTACAAGTAAGTATTGAATTATTAACATATTTATAACTATCACTTTCATGAACTACAGAGTAATTTATTAAATGTATTAATAGTTGTTCTATCGAATGACATGTTTTGGATATTGTTTTTTAATGTTAATGTGGTAAAAATATATACATATAAAAGAAAATGAATTATTACTAGATGGTAAATAAATAAAAATCCCGTAAAAATACTGCGTTTTACATTAATACTTATAAAATTATATATTGGCCTATTTCATTATTTACGAATCACCCTGTATAAATGGCACCTATTATTTTTGTATTATCATTAAACATGATAAATATAGCAATAATTTGTTTTTTAGTAAATATTTTCACCTTCTAGAACAATAAAAGTAATTATCAAAAACATGTCCTTACTTATTTGTGGCTCACCCTGTGAAGGAAAATAATGTTTGACCTCTTTTTATATTCGTAGAATGCCAAAGGATAAAAAAGATTTGGCACAAAAAATTATAATCGATTAGATTTTTTCTGAAATAACCATTATCAAATAAGTGGTATTTCTTAAGTTTAACACCTGTATTTTAAAAACCAATCATTATTTTGGAAAATATTTTCTACAGCATGGATGATAGGCCAGTGAAAAAATATCTATACTTTTACAGAACTAATAAAAAAATATAGGGTTCTTAAAAAATTGTTTCTTTGACACATTTGATAAATCAACTATTAATATATTTATTAAATCACCCTGTAGTCAATGAATTGGATAATTGTACATATCGTAAATATACAAAAGTCAAGTAAAAATACTGCGTTTCACATTAATACTTATAATAGTATATTATTCAATAAATGTATAATGTTGACCATATTACACGAGTGTTGTAAATATTCGAGTGTAGTATGGTCCATTATACACGAATTGAATACTATACTTTATCTACAACTGAATACGGGGGCTCACCGAAAACGAAAAGGGGATTTTTAGAAAAAATTTAGTATTTAAGCCACCGTGTGAAATAAAACGCCAATTTATACAGGAACTCATTTAAAGTTATTTATTGATGTAATTAATAGTAACATTACAATTTCAAATATTAATAGCTCCGGTAATATCATTGAGATTATTGTTTTTTAAAGAAAAATTAGTGTTGCTATTGATGAGTACAGAATCATGACGATCACTGTCAGAAGATGATGGATTATTAAGACCAACACAATTTTCATTATTGATTTGACTTAAAATTGCTTGAGCTGTTTCTATTTTGTTCTTTTTTGAATTGGCGATGTACCCTTCTGCTGTTGAGGCGGATTACCAGCCTCCATGACGTTTTAATGTTGTCATTGAAGCTCCAGAATCAGCAACCAATGTTACAGATGAACGCCTGAGGCAATGGTCAGTATATCTCTCAGGGTTTGGTAATTGTAAAAACGTAGCAATTTGCTTTCCCATTGCGCTAAACTGTTTATTCCTATCACTTGTTCTGTACACTTTCCTTTTTGGAAATTGAGAAAAAAATCTTGTGGTGCATTTTCGGGCCGGAGGTCTATATATTTTTTAACGATTTTGAAAAAATTATCCACAATTGTGAAATTCCTTGGGACTATGGTTTTTGTGTGTGCGTGGCACGTTTACTTGAAAACATCCCTCAAAACATCTTAAATCCCCAATTTTCATATTCTTTAACTCACAGGATCGGCAAGCACCCATGACCCCCATAATCAAGGCAACCTTAAAAAAATGTGTAGATTAAGATAAAGAATTTTGTTTTTCGATTCGAGTTTTTACCTTTGTTCCAAGATATTTAAAATCTGGGGCTTCCTTTATAAACCTCTCAATTTGTTCACCAGCCAGAGCTTCAGATTTCTTGGGTCCGTAATTAGGATCGTCTTTACAACAAAGCACGTAATCTCGGATATTTATCAATGTCGACATTGTGCTTGATGTTTAACATGCTTTTTAGCATGGAATAGTTTGTCCATAGAGTAGACGATTTGTATTTACTAGAAATTTCCATAAAATATACAAGCACAGTGTCTTCGGAAAAAGAGGATACATTTTTTGTTTGTTTCCACGACAAAAATTTGTTGTATGCAATCTCGATATTTCAGGTAATAATTCCAACGACGCCACTTTAGCAGCGCCGCGGATTTCAGGAGGTAATAGTTCCATGTAATCATCGTCTTCCATTTTTTTAATTGATAAACACTTAAAACGGGCTTAATATTTTAAGTTTAATTTCAAAAAAGAATCGGGAACAACGAATAACTGTCAACATGCTGTCAACTAACGTGTCAAACGCATACTAGATCTAATGATTTTTAATTCTAGTGGGGTATAACTGACAAAAATTGTGTAATATGAATATATCTCACTAGTGATATATGGATTGCTTTATGTTGCCTTAGATACGCATATAATACATCCATATAATGACAGTTGTAAATAAAAATTTTATTGCACTCATCTGTCATTTAACTACAGCGTTTTATGATCATGACAAACATAAATATTCAAATCGATGCCAAATATTTAGTCCATTTTCATTTTCTGTGTGCATTACGTTTTAAAAAATATTAATATTGAAAATTGTACAAATTTTTCATTTTAATATTAGTGGCAAAAACAACGTTTAAGCTTAATTATTGTTCATTACACAGTTGTTTCTAAAGTTTTGGTTAAATTATTTTTCTTAACATAGTTATAGTACCTTTATAATGTTAATAGATGCTAATTATTAGTTATTAAATATTTTGCTATTATAACGCTTTTTATTCTTCTGCACTTAGTGTCGCTTAAATAAAAGATTTTTTGTTTTTGCATGAACGTAGAAAAAATATTGTATGCAACTGTGCAAAAAGTGTTTATTGCACTCGACGTGTTGTCCAACTCGGCCTGACGTCGCGTGCAATAAACACTTACTTTTTGAATTTGTTGCATAAATAACTATTTTAGTAAATATTTCCCCATTCTAGAACAATAAAAGTAATTATCAAACACATGTCTTTCCTTATTTGTGGCCCACCATGTAAAGGAAAATCATTTTTGACCCCTTTTTATATCCATAGAATGCCAAAAAATCTTACAATAAGATTTTACACAAAAAATTATAATCGATTAGCTTCCTCCTGAAATAACCGTTATCAAATAAGTGGTGTTTCTTAAGTTTAACACCCTGTATCTCAAAAACCAGACATAGGATTTGAATGGTTTCATGGACATTATTGCTTAAGAGGTCGAGAACTGCAACATATCAAAAATTTCATTTAACAGGACGCCACATTTCCATAAGCGGTGTGCGGGGTCCTTTGTTAAATGTCCGATTAATTCTTACGTCATACAACATTTCATGTTTTCCTACCGATATTTTTAACTAGTGTTGGAAGTATACGGATAAAAAAAAATCAGAATCCTTCCGATTATTAAAATAATCAGATGATTTTTTTTTTTAGAAACTGGAAGAAAGTACCCCCTTTTTCAACTACTTGACAGAAGAGCGGACATGGACTACAAGTTTCCTGACACAAATTTAATAATAAAAAAAGGAACCAAGATTTATATTCCGTTTTATGCCCTGCATATGGACGAAAAATATTTTCCAGATCCTCAAAAGTATAACCCGGAAAGATTCTTGGATAAAACTATTAATAGCGATGGTGTTTATTACATGCCTTTTGGAGCAGGACCTCGAATTTGTTTGGGTAATTCTCGATTTATATTTAACTATTAATTGTACTATATTCAATAAATTTTTTCAGGAGAACGTTTTGCCATGATGAGTATGAAAATATTTCTAGCTACGTTCCTGAGATCATTCAAGGTTGAAACCTGCGATAAGACACCTAATAAAATAACATTTGACCCAAATAGTTTTACTATCGTATCAAAAGATGGGGTTTATCTTAGATTTAAACGTCTTAATGAAAATTAA